AGTCTCATGAAAATTAAGTTGTCAACATAGAACACGTGACGTCTGATTCTGTGTTTAAGAAAGGAATGGTGGGGCGCCTGGGGGGCTCAGTTGGTTAAGCGTCTGCCTTTGGCTCAGGTCATGATCCCTGGGATCAAGCCCCACATCAGGCTCGCTGCTTAGTGGGGAGCCTGCTTCTCCCTCTTCCCCTGCCCCTCCCTTGTGCATGCTCTCTCAAAACAGAATCTTAAAAAAGAGTGGTGGCACCATGGAACGCTGGGCCTCATTTTATGATGTGGCTGAGTAATTTGTTGGTTGTTTCTTTGATGTCATTCCTTAGGGTCCAGAGAAGCTTTCTGGAACATTCCTTTTGGAACCAAACTGTTTATGCTTTTGAAGTATTCTGTGGCTGCCGAGAATTCTCATTAACTGATATGGGGGGTTGGTATTTAATGGACTTTCCCCAGGATTGTAAGAGAGGTTCGAACATTTTTCCTTGTTCATCTTATGAATTATTTCCCTTCTTATAGTTACGACCTTTGGCAGATTTTTAGCTCCAACAGTAAAGTGGAACAGAATTGCAACTACAGTTCCTGTAACAAGCCATGTCAGATACAACCCTACAAGTAAGATTGTGACTGTGGTCACATTACTTCATTGGAAAATAAAAATCAAAGAGTAAAAGCAACAGGAACCATGAAAGAAATCACCATTTGCCAAAACTGATGTTTGTCCGGATCAAGCAGAGTTTATACTAACAAACTAAAAAATCATGGAAAAAAATCAACCTCACAGACTCTAAAAATCCATCTAGTTAAAAACAGAAGTATTTACATTTTAAATTACCTTGATCTGAACTCCTCCAAGGAAATCTACATCATTAAATTCCCCACGGCCTTAAAATGGATGAGAGAGATTTTAAGGTGACCTGTTTTCTTGGTTAGCTGCATTATAGGAGAACTAGGTAATCCATTCTCAAGTAAGCCTTTCAAAATGGCCTGTTTGCATTCGGAGCTCTCCAGTTCTGCAGTCCTATAAAGTGACCTAACCACCAGTCTGTGGTTCACAGGAAATAATGACCCAACTTCTTGACGCCAGGAGAGCAGTGTGCTCAGACCTCTGTATCGTTCCCTGACCCCCCTCGCCCAACCCACCCTCAGCCAGAAAAAGGAAGCAAGGTCCCAGGCCATGATAACAAGACTGTGCTGGCATGGGCCCAGTGCTTAGGGTGTTTAGTAGTCTCTCAAGAAAAGAGGTCATTGCACGAAAGCACACATTTTAGATCATTGCTTTATTTCACTATTGTTTAACAACAAAGTTCATTCCTCTTCAGGTGGATCTTGAATTGTTCCTTGTGTTCTTTTCCTCATCCTGAATAAAAAAGGTAATGAAGAAAAAGCCTGTACTTTTGGAGACCTAAAATCTTGCTTTTGCTAATAAGCTTTTGACTGCAATTTCGTGGTCCGGTATTTCCTGCTGGCATCTTGGTGGTCCCACGGAGCTTCCCACCCTCCAGTGAAGATGGCTGTCCACAACTACCACCGTTGAAACCAAAAGTAAGTGTTGAAAAATGCACCTTTTACAATAAAAAAGTAGAAACCAATTCAATTTCCTTTTTTTTTTTTTTACGAATATAAAGTTTCTTGTAAATATGTACAGTCTTTTGAGCTAGTTCTATAGCAGGAAGCATTTCACAAATGAGACACACGATATACACTTTCCGGGCTCAAGAAGCCCATTTCTCATGGAGATCCTAAATGAAATGCCAAGACTGAAAGACCAGTTTTCAGTGACCTTTCCAAATACTTGTGGACCAAGAGACAAAAACTTCAGCAAACATTCAATCTGATCTGCCCTGGGGAAGGGAGGGGATGCAGTATGACCCCAAAGACTCCAAGCAACACATAAAACAACAGTGTGACACCTGCCAAGGCCGTTAACAACATGAGGGAGGGACACAGGCGTTCCAAACAAGAAAGCACTTAGGTTAAGAGACTAGCAGGAGGGAGCTGGGATTTGGGCCAGGTTGCAATCTGGAAAGTGATCTGAACTGCGGACAATGTGGGTGGAAATGTGGTTATGTTCACCTGCGGTGGTGGAAACAGGTCTACCTTTCAGCCTACCTAGGATGTGCCTTGGTGGTTTGAGGCCTAAGAGTCATGGAGAATCTGAAGCAAGAGATGCCTTATGGGAGATTAAAGGCAGAAATAAGGCCGCTAGTTAGCTTGCCAACTGCAAAGCCTCTAGGTTGCTGCTTTACCAGTTGCCAGGAATTTTGCATTCTGGTAGCGGGTCGAGAGAAAACCCGTGTGCGCCGCGCTGCACCTAAGGGAGGACCTCCCAACCCCAGCAGAGGCGGAGGAGGGGCCACGGTGCTCTCGAACTTCCTGGTCTTCGTCCAGCCCTAGGGAAAGGCTCCCTTGGGAAGTCACAGTTTCGTGGGGGTAGAACCCTGCTGGATTGTGTGTGAACACAGAGTCATTCACGAGGGAGTCGGCAGGGAAGCGGGAAAGTGTGAGTTGGTGGTTTGCTGAAATCCTTCTCCGGTCGTAAGGCTTGAGCGTTTGGTTGGTGGTTCAGTGCTACAGACTGCAGCTTGTTGGGGCCAGTGAGTTGGCAAGTGGTCAGAGGGTCTCAATTCAGCGGGAGCTGTGGTATGGTACTAGTACATCGGCAGAGCAACCCAAGGGGGGCAGCCAGGTCGGGGGCAGGGGGGAGGGGGGCAGCACATGCAGTGAACCGCCATGCAGAACTCCCGGACGGGACTCTTCCCATCCCAGGGTGGGGAACAACGCACTGTCGTGGACAGGAAGTAGGCGCCCCCGGTCCCCTCGCGGACCCAGAGACTCCTTAATGCTGGGCTCCGAGCAAGTCTATTGCATGCTTTCCTGGCCCAAGCTATGTGGAAAGCAGGGACAGCAGGCTGGGGAGATGACGCTGCAGGGCAGGGAGGGAGAGCTCCTTGAGGTCCCATTGCCCCAAGTCACTGCCTCCAAGCTGAGGCCCGATGACCTCTGTACATTCTCAGCTGGTGGGAGGGGAAGTCGTCAAGGCCATAAAAGGCAATGAGAACAGTAAACATTTGGCTAAGATGTCACCCTGGGTAAAACAGGGCCATCTGCGAGGATGGACTGGGATAAGAATGAACCTACATGAGCTCAGGAGGTTGGCCAACTGGCGGGGGACTCTTCCACAATACGTTTCCAGAGCAAAGACCTGATGGTGTGATCTAGCTAAAAATAACTACAACGGGAAATACATTGCTATTCAAATCTATTAAGAATTCTGTTGTCTTAAAAAAAAAAAAAAAAAGGAAATCCAACCAACCCTAGGATCTTAAAGTAGCTATTAAATAGGATTCTAACCACGGTGTAGTTAGCGCAGGTTGGTTTCCTTTGATGAACCGGTACAGGCTAGAGCTAGGTATAAAAGTTTATGAATGCTCTGAAAGAGTAACAAAGTGCACAGAGGATGACTGCAGGAAGGCGCTGACAGCTCCTAAGAGCCTCGGCTCCTGCACCGCCTGGATGCAGGGTGTCCACACTGAGGTGGCTCTGGGCCCAGCTGTGCCTTGGGGTGGCTGAGCAGATGGGTGCTGGGGGCCCCTTCAGCAGAGTTCCTTAGAGTGTTTGGTATTTTCCTGCAGATTAAGATGAGAAGTTGGTTTTCCTGGCTGAGATTTACACTGAAGACTGGTCCCAGACCTAGGAGCAAAATAAGGAGGAGTTTTAGCTGAGGGGGCCAGGAGTCCCTGGGCTCGCCCCACATAATCCCAGTAGGAAGCGTGCCACGCTTGGTCTCCCTGTGGCCGTTAACGCCGAGTGCTGCCCAGGCCAGCAGCGGCGAAGAGAGCCAAGCCACTGAGCTCGGGGTTCGTCAGGCAATGTAATTCACGGAAAATTCTCCAAAGCTATGGATGGATCTCTGTTACACATACACATACACTTGTCCCCGTTTTATCGGTAAATCAGAGGGGCTGAGAAGAAACACTGACTGGCTTTTCCTCTTCTCTTTATTGGCAGGGGTCCCAACAGTGACCTGCAGGTGGCATTAGGAGAATGTGATCTAGAAAACCAGCCCCCCTCCTGGCCCCCTGGGACAGAAAGGTTGCTGTGCTGTCCAGAGGGGGCCCCTGGAACTGGCTAGCCTGCCGAGGAGGCACCAAGCACTCAGACCCTCCCCCTGCTCATGGGGGCCCCTTTGTCTTCAAGACCTCCCACCATCTCTTTATTCGCTAACTTGAAAACTTATACAGATAACACAAGCATACGATTTAGAGATTTCAAAAGGCTCCAAGTTCTAGAAGGCAACCAGTGTTCCCAGTTTCTGTGTAGCCCTCCAAAAAAAGTTCTTGGTGCACATGTGTATCTGTATATGCACTTGAAAAAAAATAAGGCGTGAACATTTTGTGTAGTATGCTATCATTTGTGTTTAAGAAGGGAGGATACGCACATTATACGCCCAGAATATCTCTAGAAACTGCTAACACTGGTTGCCTCTGGGGAAGGGAATGATCTACCCTAGGGTAGCTATTACATTTTGAGGTACACATGTACACATCATCCATCTGCTTAGAAAGCCCTCTTAAATGTTTTCTTCCTAAACTTGCTATATGTCCTAAAAAATCTGATAAAAAATCCCCCCCCCTTTTTTTTTCTCCAACAGTGGCCCTGAAGGGCCCTCAGCTCCCCAGGTCACTCCTCTGGCCTCAGGATGTGCCTGACCTTGTTGACCTGGGACAGTGGGGTCCTCACGGCTCCCACAGGCAGCCGGCCCCGGCTGCTGTCTTCAAACAGCCTCCCAGGGGAGCGTTCCCTCCGCGTGCTGAGCATCCGGCCTGGGGACTTCTCCCGCTCCAGGGGGCGGCCAGGAGACTTGTCCCTGCGCAGCTCCGTCCGCCCCTCCCGGTAGCGGTGGGGTGTGCTTGGCTCTCGCGGGTGGCTGGGGCCTTCCGGTGGTGCCGGGCTAGAGGCCACACGCTTGGTGATGTGCTCGTTGTACGTTGGCGGGCCTCGCTTATTGGGGCTGCGGGCAACAGGAAAGGGAGATGCAGAGCTGAGCAGTCATAACCCCAAAGGGGCATCTTCCTCCTCTGAGAAACACCCATGCCCCAATCTTCAGTAGAAAAGATCCCACCTGGAGTTCTTCAGGCTTTTTGTTTTCTTTAGGTAGTGAGGACAGGGAAAGAAAGATGACAAAGCCCAAAAAAACAAGCTTCCTGCTCTCAGTGCAGGTTTTCACTGAGCACCTACTGTGTGCCCAACCCTGTGCTAAGCTCTTTATGTGCTTCGACTCATTGAATCACCGTAACAGCTCCACAAGCTAGGAACAAGCATGACCCTCACCGTTCAGACAAGAACCTGGAGCTGCAGAGCTGGGACTCTGACACAGGTCAGTTTGACATCCTAACCCCCGCCCTGTATCCTACTGGCCTAGTATTTTGCAGAGCCTAGAAGGCACAGAAAGAAGTCTTCATTTAGGGGTTGAGACTGCTACCAGGCCCTTGATACAAGGGAGCAATTTTGAGAAAGCCTGTGCTCATCACTGTCAGCTGCCATCTCTGCCCCCGCCCCCCCGGCCTGGTGCTCAGTCACCTCTCCTTCCAGGTGGCTTTCCAAGCCCCTTTGGCACCTAATACTGATGTGAGAGGTGTGGGGATCAGGCCTGACAGAATTAGAAAACTGAGCAGGACAAATAAAAACAGTACAGTTGGCTCAAAACATGTCCCTGGCCCCAAAGGTTTATAGTAATAACCCAACAATTGAAAACACTGGGGCCTTTTTGTATGGCCCATCCAACCCTCCATCCAGCTCTGGCCTGGAAATTTCAAATGAAGATTTCAGCAGATACAGCCCTAACCATCTCTCTGAAGAAGTGAGATCCAGAAACAGAACTGAGAGTCAATTCCTTCCCACACCAATGAGCAGAAAAAGTACTCAATCCTCATCATCTCAGCACAATTAGAGCTAGGAAAAGGGAACCTACTTAAAATGGGCACATTTTATAGAGAATATTACTTGGAGAACATATTTTGATTGGGGCTTTATCTCAGAAAATAGAAGTAGAAATCAAGAAAGTAAATTTATCCTCATTATTATTAAAATCGAAATTACAATTGGAATTATGTGCCGATTCTAAGAATGAGCCAAGTATGAATCACATACTGATTTAACTTGCTCTAATTTTCGCAACAAAATTGTATGCTAATATGCTCAATGACATACTTTCTGTCAATGTTGGACTTCTGCAGTAAAGTCAAAGTCATTTCTTAAAAAATGAAAGTGTCATTGATTTTCCCAGAGGCCTATCTTAATCCTTGATATTTAAATCCTTCTCTTTGAAAGGGGCCAAATTTGTTGTTTTTTTCTTCAGTTATTGATCTAACTGCCAGAATTGCTTTTGTCAATGCCCATAATTAAAAACAAGAAAAACAGGGCGCCTGGGTGGCTCAGTTGGTTAAGCGACTGCCTTCGGCTCAGGTCACAATCCTGGAGTCCCGGGATCGAGTCCCACATCGGGCTCCCTGCTGAGCAGGGAGTCTGCTTCTCCCTCTGAACCTCTTCCCTCTCATGCTATCTCTCATTCTCTCTCTCTCAGATCTCTATCTCTCATTCTCTCTCTCTCAAATAAAATCTTTAAAAAAAAATAAAAACAAGAAAAACAAAGACATCTACTGGGGGAGGAGAGACTCTAGAGCAAGCTTGAGGGCCAAATCCAGACAGATGACCTTATAAATAAAGTTTTATTGGAACACAGCCATGCCCATCTGGTTAGGCACTGTCTATAGCTGCTTTCACACAACAATAGTTGAATAATTGAGACAGACCATATGGACCACAAAGCCAAAAATATTTACTATCTGAACCTTTACAGAAAAAGTTTGCCGATTCCTGCACTACAGTGAAACAGAAGGGTGAGTAGAGAGAATTTGATAAGTGATCAGTTCATTGTGAAGATTTTCATGTGATTCTCTGGTTTCCCTGTGCAACTCTAACTGTGAAGATTCCAGACAACATGCCCAGAAAGCCAGAACCCCCCTGTGCTACATGTCCAGTGGAAAAAATTTAAGGTAACTCAGATTTCAACATCTTGAAATAAAGTTTTATATTCCTCTCTAGTCATGTGGCTTTAAGATATGGAAGACAAAAATAAATAAATTCCAAGTAGGAGAATTATATTAAGCCTATTTGTAATGGAAGGGAAATTATAAAATGTGTCCACAGGGGCCCATCATAAAGCAAGAAGGATGGCTCCAAGAAGACCATTTGGAATGTTGGCTTAGATTAATGGAATGAAAGAAAATACCCATCATTCTAGGCCAAGGGGGCAATCTTCCATCTCTGTGTCCATTAATGACCAATGCTCTCCCATGCCAATTTTATGGGTTTTTTTGTTTGTTTGCAAAGAGTTACATTTCCTGCTCTGCTAAACAGACCAGGTCAGTGAGGCCTTGTGGTGAATCACACTCAACCAAACTGTGGCCTTCTACATTCTGACCTGCCAAAGCAGCCTGCATAAAAAAGACCATTTTATAAGCCAAGAGACAAGCAGAGGCTAACTGCGATTTTCCAGACATGCCTGGCCACCGCAGGAAAGCAACAGCATTGTCTCTGCCTCTCCTTCACAGGAACTGGAACTCCTTTCAACCAGAGAATAAGCAACTTCTTACAGAGATGCTATATAGTCTCAAAAGGAAGGCGCCTGCCATCTAATTAGTAAGGCAGTAGAGAAAAAAAATCTATAGTACTTTGATTTGTTCTTGGCATGACTTAAAATCTGGACATTTTCAGGAGAGTCCTTTGAGCAGTTACTCTTGAGGCAGGGTCAGGCCAAAAGAGTTAGGAACTGCTGGTTATTTACCACTTCTGGTTTTCTAGCAAGTGCCTGGGATTAAAATCACACTGACCAAACATTTAGACTAACCTCTTGTATTTCAACAGAAGAAAGACTATTCATTAGGACGTAGTCTCAAAATGTTAGATTTATGATGTTCTTTTCCAAGACCTAAGCACTTTTTAAATATTAGAGGTAGTTCCTTCACCAAATTGAGAGTCCCTTGAGAATAGAAACATGTCTTCATCAGTGTATCCCCAGCCCCAGATACCTTGTCTAGCACACGGTAGGGGATCCGCATAACTCTTTACAGGGTAGACACAGCAGGGCAGAAAATTTAAATCCTAGGTCAGTTAAATATTTCCCTGGGTTAAATAATCTCAGAACTACTTTGTAGACCAAGAACTTAAAGTTACACATCTCAAACCTACCCATCAACCTGGATCTGGCTGAAAGACTTCTATGTCAAGGCAAGGTCAGTCCCACTTCCCACGCACTGCTGGTAGGATTACAAATAGATATAGTCTTCAGGGAGGAATACTCAGCAACATCTATCAAAATTACAAATGGACATCTGATGTCACCCAACAATTTTTTTTCCTAGGGATTTATCCTACAGATGGATTCCTAAGCATGCAAAATGACATAAGCACAAAGTCATTTAATTTATTACAGCAACAGTCTGTGAACCACCGAAACATCCAGATAAAGGAGCAGTTAAATAAATTAAGGTCACACGAAGGCATAAATGCCATGTAGGCATAAAAAACAATGAAGTAATACTTCTGATACTGACATGGAGCAACCTCCAAGATACATTAAGGTACAGAAGAAGGTGCACAGTGTGCTATCACCTGTATTAGAAAGGAGAGGAACGCTTCCAGAACGGTACAGTAAGGACTGCTGAAAACCCGTTCCTCCATAAAAGCAACCAGAACACTGGCAACAACTGTCTAAATCAACTTTTCAGAACTCTGGAAATTAACCAAAGACTTGCAACAACTCAAAGAGCAAGAGCATTTATGTAAAAAATAGCTGAATCTCCGTAAGAACAAGCTTTGTGACATGTTAATGTGACCTTTTCCCACCCTTTTCTCCCCAGATCTGCAGTAGTTTTGAAACCAACAGCCAGGTAACCACAGCAGCACTGGAGGGAGATCAGGATTGAAGCCCCAGCCCAGCAAACAGTCCCCATCCGACCTGTCTGGCTACTCCTCTGGCTACCATTTTCCGGGCTCTTTAGCTGACCTGACACAGGGTTTGCTCATGAGAAAAGCCCTATTCCCAGATGTTTATCAAAAACAATCAGCAGCAAGTGTTTAACCTGGCAAATACCTGAGGCAGTGATACCAGTTGGGGAAGAGGCTGGCCAAAACACTCAGAAGGCAATCTCGGAATAAGATGTCTACAGGGCATTTTGAAATGGTCCCACATATTTGTAGGAATCTAGAAGGCCACGCACACGGGCAAGGCTCTGCAAATGCCCAGGAAAAATCTGAGAAGGCCTCAGTCTCTCAACTCTGGCTGACTTTGAGCATTGAAGGTATGCCCAACACACATACATACACACACACACACACACACACACACACACAACCCCTCAGCAAAGGGTGGGAGACTTCCTGGTTCAATGCATTGAAGGAAATCTCTGCCCAATCATTAGCAGATGACTAACTTAACCAAGCAGAAACCTGAATGGCCACACAAAACAAAGAATACAGACTTTACAGATTTAGTCCCAGAGGGTCACTCAATAAACTGCAACAACAAACGCAGGGGAGGGGGGGGGGGTCTGGGTGGGGGTCTGATTTCCAGAGTTGCCACATTATATTATTTGAAATGTTCAGTCTCCCAACAAAAAATTAGAAGACATGCAAAGAAAGAGGAAAGCATGGCCCATACAGAAGGCCTTATTTCTTCTGCGAAATCTTCCTTGGCCTCCATTGTCCAGGCTGGGAACCCTCCTCTGGGTTCTCAAGGTGTCTTAAACTACCCCAGTTTGAGCCCCATCCTCCTAGGCTGTGCTGTAATTGCCTGATTGCTCATGTCTCTCGCCCACTGGGCTCTACGAGGGAGGGACTGCATCTGGTTTATGCGGCGCTATACCTCCCATAGCAAGCCCAACTAGCAAGGCAGAGTATCTGCTAAAGCAACGAATGCATAATTCGTGATCCATTCTAGTGCCACTGAGAATACCCAACAGAGAAAGACCAGACATTTCCTTCCACCTTTTCCAAAGGGGCATTTAAAAATTCTCCCGATACTTGACAAGGATGGAGTCACTTTCATGCTGTATCTCAAAGAAAGGAGTGGTTTGAGCTTGAAGATTGGGGAAACCTTCGACCAGCTTAGCAAAATTTCCTTCTACCTTACAGAAAAGCACTCTGCGTCCTATAATGAAGAAGAGAGGAAGTATGGTACCTGCGGGAGGTGGGGGGGCCCCGGTGGTGGTCAGTGCCAGACTCCTTCACGAGGTTTCCTTTGCAGCAAATGACCCGTAATTTATCCTGGTATGAGGACGCCAGGTAAATCGCTCCTGAGGAAATTGCAGGGCCCAAGTAGCGTGGGTTCGGGATTTCCAAATACGCTCGGGCAGGAGTCCTGAGGAGTTCCAGGTAAGAGTTTACATTCAGGTTACCTCCATTGCTAGGCGGGATGGGAAGAAACAGACACTTGGCCCCGACCCCCGACCCCAACAGCTGAACTTTTCAAAGCCTGAAAGGGCAATGCTTACCCCAGAGAGGAGCGTGCCTGGATCTCAATGACTTCGAGTGAGTTGAAGTGGGTCACAAACAGATAGGGTTCTCTGTAGGCTGCATGGCCACCACAGAAGAAGAGCATGGAGCAAGGGTTAAAAGAGGAAATCAAAACCAGGCTGCAGTGCCACCTTGGAGCCAGCAATTCCACCTAAAATAATTTAGCCTACACATACATCCATGTGCCAACATAATGAGGCATGTTCAAGTTTACACACTGCCATGTTGTCAGAGCAGAAGATGGGAACCAAATCAAGGGTACGTTATAGGGGGTCAGGTAAATATATTATGGTTCAACTGTGGGATTCTGCACAGCTATAAAAATGCATGAAGCTATGTACGGATGCATAAAAAACCCTGAGGTGTGTTTTACTTGGTGTGCAAATTAAGATTCAGAATAATGTGTAAAGTGTGGCACCACACTGATTAAAAAAAAAAGTGTGTGTGGGGGGGAGGATAAGAATATATTTTCGAGGCGCCTGGGTGGCTCAGTCGTTAGGCGTCTGCCTTCCACTCAGGTCACGATCCCGGGGTCCTGGGATCGAGCCCCGCATCGGGCTCCCTGCTCCGCGGGAAGCCTGCTTCTCCCTCTCCCACTCCCCCTGCTTGTGTTCCCTCTCTCGCTGTGTCTCTCTCTGTCAAATAAATAAATAAAATCTTAAAAAAAAAAGAATATATTTTCTTACGCATCTGTATTTGCACAAAGCACTGAAAGGATAAGAAACAGGAGTTTCCCCCCCACATCTTGGGGGAGTGGGGGTGGAGAATTGGGGAGAGAGGTTATATGGGAACTTTTCATTGTATACCTTTTTAAACTGTTTAATTCTGTACATTTTCAAAAAAAAAATTAAAGACTGAGTTCAAGGATAATTAAATATTTCTAATCTTAATACTGTATGTCTATATCATAGCATCAGTGAAACTCTAGGATACGATGGGAGCCTTTTCTGTCTTAAAAGGAAAAGGAAATTATCACTGTTATCCCTTGTGGTAAACCAAGACTTTGGTTTTGGACAATGAGTCATGCCTCCCGGTACTCAGGGCCCTGGTGGAGCCTCCTTGCCTTGAATCTAGGCTGACCCCGTGGCTGCTTTAACCAGTAGAATGTGGTGGAAGCAACAAAGGCCAGCCAGCTTCCACTTTCGCACTCCTGGAAGAAGCACACGTGGAGAGGAACTGAGGTCTCCAGCCTCCAGCCTCCAGCCCTGAGCCCCGGCTGAGTTCCCACCAATTATACCAATTGGCCGCCATTTTGTGAGGCCATTTTGGACTTTCTAGTTATCCCAGTGCCCCCACTGGTACCACATGAAGCAGAACTGTCCAGTCAAGCCTCAGCATCTTGGGCAATAATAAGTTGTTGTCTTGTCCATACGCAGCAAAAGAGAAACCAAATAGCCTTGACGGGTATTTTAGCCATAACAGTGTTTCAGAACATTTACACCAATATGTGTGTACATATTTGTACGTGTGTGTGTTCATGTATATGGGTGTTTATGTGTGACCCAGCAGCTCCACTTTTAGGGCTTGTGAGCAGCAGATACTACTTGACAAGTGTGCAGAGATTAGTGCAAGATGTTCAAGAATGAGCATGACCTACGTGCTCTGCCTAATTAGAACTGGCTACATTGACAGGTGTTCAGCTATGCCATGGAGTACTCTGCAGCCTTTGAAATGATTTAAATAAATTCACAGGGAATGCTCTCCTTTCTTCATGAGACCCTAACAAATATTTCACAAGGCTGGTGGATCTGGCATATGCAGTTCTTCATCAAGCATCAGAATCTTTGCCCTGAACACTTCAGGGGACTACGACCTACGGCACTTGGTGTCTAACGTGATCCACAGGCATAGCGCATAAACCAAAAAGGATTCCACCTGCAATTCTTTCCTAGGACTCCAGCTGCTGGCAGAATAGAGCCCTCCAGACCTTGCTTCACTTACCAAAGGCCAAAGGTAAGCGACTCCACTTGAGATCGTCTGTGCGGCTACGTCTTCCGTAAGAATCCACGAACACCCCAAATTCTGCAAGGAGTTGGAGCCGGGGGGCGTTGGCACAGTCAGAGGCAACAGAATCAATGGCACCACACACTTTGCCAGAAGAACAAGGGATTGAGCCCAGGGGACCACCAGCCATATTTACCTGGGTCGTTAAGACCTGAGGACCTTTGCTGAGCCACATCTCTGGGAGATGTGTTAAAGGAAAGTGGGGGAGACAGGAAAGAAGGAGCAAAGGGAGGAGGAAGAGACGGGAGACATGGAGGAAGGGAAAGGGAAGAAACAGAGACCCAGACACAGGGAGGGACAGGAGGAGCCAGAGATTTGCCGTGGGGGAGGGGAAGGGAAAGGAGGAATAAAAAAGAATGAAGAGAAACATCAAAAGAAAACCCAAGAAAGAAGGAACAGAACAGAGAGAAAGGAAAGGGAGAGAGAGAAGCAAGGGGCGGAGAAGGAAAGAAGTGGCTGCTCTCAGGACAGAATATGATGGGGCCGGACGGGGCGAGAGCCCTGGTGGGGGCCTGGGGCTCCCGGGCGCCCGCAAACCCTCAGGACAGCGGCCGGCAGGGAGCCCCGACTCACCGTGGAAGCAGAGCAGGTATTCCTCCCGCTGCCCTGCGCCGTTCACCTGCACGATCGAGACAGGGAAACTGTTGGAAGAGGAGGCAAACACAGCAGGCGCCAAGGAATGGTCATTCTTATCCAGGAATTCTGTAAAGGCAGGTGGGAAGCGGGGCGTCAGGGAGGAGCCAGAATTGGCGGTGAGGCCAGAGCAGAGATCGGCTGGGGGGCGGGGGGAGTGCGGCCGGACTAGGACCCTACCCTCAAGCGTGTACTGCTTCATGTCAATTTCGTAGAATTTATTGGTTCCGATGAGGATACTGTAATTGGTGAAGTGGATGCAGCTGCAGGGCTCTGAGGTCTCTATCTCCTGAGACAGAGGATAGAAGAAAACGATGTGAGTGAACACAGGGCAGCCGCATTTCCACTGCTATTCCGTTTCCCCCTCAGGCATCTC